GATTCGTTTCTAGAGACGCGTTTTCTAAGGCGTTCTCTCTCTCTCTCTCTCTCTCTCTCTCTCTGCTTTATTACGAGCGAATACGTGTCATTCAAGAATGTCTCGCGTTAAATTGCGACAAAAACCTTGTTAATATTCATCAAACCACGTGTGCCGTTATTCAACCGTAATTCAACGGGAAATGTGACACGTGCACTAGATTTATTGCATATATCACATCTGATACGAGCACGCTTGATTTATCGCACCGCCATTATGCAATTTCTTATATATGCGGTCGGGGAGGATTTGTAGATTTCCGATTTTTCGCATCTTTTATCAGCGCTTAACTAACTGTAACCTATTAATAAATTAAATCGTCGACAACTCTTAATAACCATCATTTCTATACACAATTATTATCGATAGCTTGCATCGCTATTCACGTACATGTTACGTAAGTTTTATTATGGGATTCCAATGCGATCGTATAATAATGGATACATCGAATAACGTATGAGCTTTCCATTCTCAGAGGAGATACGTTAATCCCTCGCGTAGATACGTGTAGATCTCTTTTAGGAATTCGAGAGAAACGATGGGAACGAAAGGCAGCCGATGATCAAATGATCGATAGAGATAATTATCCGAGTTGTTTTGTATACGAATGGATTATAAATGGTCCAGGATCGATAAATCCATCCATGGCACGGATCGATGGAAGGCTAGCGCAAAAAAAAAAAAAGAAAAAAAAAAAGAAGAAGCATCGATGACCCGGGTCGCTCTCACGCGTTGTGTCTCAGCTGTTCACTTCCGCTAGTGAAAGGTGCATGCACACTCACCTGGTCGTCTATGGTAAAATGCGCTTACGTACACCTACGTGCATCCTTGATGTGCGCATCTGACTAGCCAAGTACACCTCTTCTGTCAGTAACCGGCGATGTTTGCCTGGAAAGGCGGTCTTGGATCGACGCATCACTCTGATTGAAATTCTAACGGGTGTCCCGCGGGAAAACGATCAGATTTCTACGCGCGTGTTTAACTCGAAAGGCGAAATTAATTTCGTTCGCCGTTTCGCATTCGTTTAAAAACTGTTATTTCGTTTCGCTTGAATTCATTCTCACGATTGAATCGAAGATCCAATCCTTTTCTATGGGAAAGAATTCTATTAATAATAATAATAATAATAGTAAAAAAAAAAAAAAGATTGAAAGAAACGAACCTTCGTTCGAGAAATTAGAAATTTTTTTTTGGAAAAACTTTCAATCAAATTGAAACTGAATTTGTTGCGTAATCATTTGTATTTATGGATGTGGATTTTTCCCAGGTGTATCTTGCAAACGTTCGATAGGAATAGGAGAGGCAACGATCGATTTTAAGGAGAAAAAGAGAAACGCGGAAAGACGAATGATCGTTCAAATCGAGAGAGACTGTTCTTTCGCGAGTGCATAATATCTCTTTCTTTTCTTTCTTTCTTTCTTTTTTTGTTTTTTGTTTTTTTTTAATCTCTTTTTCATTATGAAAATGTATTAACTCGCGTATCGATAACCAACGTGTACTTGACATTTTGACGAGTGTCAATTGCGCAATCATTTTGATGGCTCATAACCTCGGTGATTACGGCTTCAATGACATCCTATCTGAAACTCTGCCCGTTTTCAGCGAACTTCATCCTTGGCAAACTTCCAACTCGATATCTTACTCGAATTCCCTCAATTTCGGTAATTTATAGTTTTTTTTGCACTTTGACCCGCCTACTACGTGACTTTCGAAGAGTGTACACGTTGGCCCGTTATCGAAACGGTTTGGCCTCCAGTCCGCGATATCGCTTCTAAAATGAAAATCGCTTTTTTTTGAAAGAGCGTACATCGCGATACTTTCCCCGAGCATAAAAATGAAATCGGGAAGAACGTTGCTCAGTCTTGTCACGATACGTTTTGTAATTCTAATAGTCGGAATTTCTAAACCATTTTATTTCGACTGATTCGGTCTGCCAAGTGGAGCGGCTTGTTTAAAGATGATGCCGATTTCTTGCATCACTTTATTGGCCTAATTCCAGTCGATTTGTATTCATATTTGGGAAACAATCCTTTCCTCCGCTTGTGTAACCTTTTTACACACTACTTCGTAGAGCGAGAATACCGAAAGTAATACGAGTCCCTTGATTTTCTTCTTCCAATTAATAGAGACCATCCATACGAGCACAGTAATGATTACTGTGTTTAACGTTGTAGGATCTTATATAATTTCACTTGATAAATTCGTCAACATGTTTGTGGAAATTCTCGTTGCATTATCTGATTATGTCGCTTTCCGAGAAACGTTCGATAAAAGTATTCCAGACAGCAATAATCATTTTTCTCGCTTCAATAGATAACGCGATGTTTATAAAAATATATAAACGATAATCTCGCACACTGTTTAGTTGTAATTAAGAAACTATGGTATAATAATTTAGAAATAATAGATATTCAATCTATTTTTACATATTATTTAGATATTATAATTAACGCTTAAGTTACGACTTATAGAATCGTATATTTCATACGTAATAATTTTTACAGAATCATATGTGGAAATAGATGACGATATAAAAATAGACGTATCGGCATTATCAATGATACGTCTAATAAATCATAGATACTGTGTGTGTGTGTTATATCATATTATTACGTAGCGTAATTTTTTTTCTCATTAATAAACATTCAAATATGATTTCTAAATTGAATAACGATATTGATACGTGTAAGAAGAACAATATCAGTCGAATGATCCCGTAATCTCGTCGCAGTATCTTAAAACGGATCGAATAAGAATAGCAGAATGAATAAGAAAGATTTTAAATGAAAACAAATAATTCGTTGCTTCGATAAATAGCATCCTATCTCTGTGTATTTAGCTTTATCGAGGATTTCAATGAGATTTCCGGAACAAACAAAGTTGCATTTTGTATATCAAAACGAAAAAGAGTCGTGAAAAAAGAGAAGGAGTGGAAAGAATTGACTGGTAGAGAATTTTCTTTTTTTTTTTTTTTTTTTTCAATATCGATAAGATAATGATTCACTTGCAATCAGGATTATTATTTTTTTAGAAGTGATAGCTTTAAAAAATCAAAATTACAAAAACAATTTTTCTCTTCGAGAAAAAAACGTAATGGGATTTCGTAGAATTGATAAATGAAAAGTAGGGAGCGAGGTCCAACGCTTTAATTATTAATTACTACCATGTTTTTGGAAAATCAAATCCACCTGAAAATATATAATATATCTTCATTTCAATTGAGATACTTTATAATTTTCCCTTCTTAAATTAAAAAAATTGTTCTTTCTTAAAAAGAAAAAAAAAGAAAGAAAGATAGATCTAGGTTCAGATTCGTTTCACAGAAATATTTCTAATTACCTAATCATTTTACGGTACTGGCTTCTATAAAAGTATGCTCGTCATCGTGAGCATTTCTGTATATTTGGCAAAGGCTTTTTCTTGCAATTCTTCACCCAACCACTCCACGCCTTGAACCCTTCCAAATTTTGAATCTTCTTAGCGCACACGATATCGTCTCTGATATCGTCATTCGCGAAATCCTCGCAACGTTTTTTGCAAATGCCTCCACTATGCCCCCTGGAACACCACTTGGCGCTGTTAATTTGAAAGATGCCGTAACTGTAGCTGGAGGCCGTCTTCGGGCCCGTTATCAAATTCGTGTTCAATCCACTTTCGCTCTGCATCAAACAGATCCAACTGCTGATATCGCTCCTCGAGATTCTAGCTTGTTCGAGCTGTTTCACGATTTCGCATTCCGTTAGAATCTTCGCTACCACCTGGCTGTCGATTAGGAAGACGAGGAACAGCGATACCAGCCACGGTTTCATCTTCTCTCCTACGTTCGTTCCTCGACGTCGTTGTCGATCTAATATAAGACAGATCGAACGATATGTTTTGACGCGAAACACTATCGCTTGCTACTGTATGCACCGTGACGAGGATTCGTCTTAAGTAATAGACACGACTTGCCACGCCGTGCATGTTATACTCGATCGAACTATGTATGTGCAATCGCATCGAGCTTCCATGATAAATTGTAATTTTCTAATTATCGTCCTCTGAAACGAAACGAAACGATACGTAACGAAACGTCGGACAATAAATGCCTTTGTTCTTCTACACGTCTTTATTTTCGCCGCCGTTATTCCTCGGCCAATATATTTAATTAACTTGCAATTGATTTGAATTGTACCTTTCAACACGGAATTATCCATCGGTAAGAGGCATGTAATATTTTTATGTTCGCCTATACGACTCTTGTCAGATTAGTTATTGCCCTCTAAAGTCTTTCAAACTGACACTAGAGGTTAATTATTCGAGATAATATTAGCTTGGAAAGTATCATTGGGCTATAACAAACATCGATAGATAATTTCGCGAACTTTGTTGTCGCTATGAATATTTTAATATTATCGTAAAAATGATATTAAGAAGAGTTGATAAGAGTTGAGTAACCGGTGAAATAGTAGAATAATTCAATACTTGATACAACAACGTTGAATTGTGACGCGAAAGAAACGGTAATATTTATAAGTTTGTAAGAATTAGGAAAATAACAGTGGAATAGTAATAAATACTACTGTATTTTCATTTGTATTAAACAATTAAAAATTAATAACGGCGATATACCGATATACGAACGATCATCTTACATCATACATCTTCTTTACACTCGTGATAACAACAATACCCAATAATTCAATACTTGATACAACAACGACAATGATAATCTTATCTTATTGCACCAAATCCCATAACCTTTCCAGCCATCGTTTTCGTCGTTTGCAATTTCCAATATTCGGCAATGGCTTGTTCTTGCATTCTTCATCCAACCTTCCCACGCTTTGAATCCCTCCATAGCCTGAATCTTCTTGGCGCATTCGGTATCGTCCCTGATATCGTCGTCCGCGAAATCCTCGCAACGTTTGTTACATATTCCTCCACTGTGCCCTCTCGAGCACCATTTCGCGCTGTTGATCTGAAAAATCCCGAAACTGTAGCTCGAGGCTGTTTTTGGACCAGTGATCAACCGTGTGTTCATTCCGCTCTCGCTCTGCATCAAGCAGACCCAGTTGCTGATATAGGTTCTCGGGATTTGAGCTTTTTGAAGCTCTTGCACAGCTTCGCATTGAGTCAGAATCCTCGCCTCCACGTGGTTCCCGCCGATCAGGAGAGCCAGAATTAAGCACAGTTCGATCCTCATCTTTCCTTTGAGATTAATCGTTGTATCGATCGAACCAGGGTCGAATGATGCTTCTATGTGCGTGCAACTTTATCGCGTGCAATTATACCGTAATAAAGATTCGCACTTAAATATCACGCGACTTACTTCGCCGTTTGTGTCACGCCGTGTGTCGTACAAACGATGCACGACGTCATTCAGCTTGGCTGATAAATTATAATTTCCTAGGCACTGCGTGGCCGGAAATTATGTCTGTTGTCTCGTGTCTTTGTTCTTTTATAGGTACTTTGGCGCCACTCGTCTTCGACAAGTTGACTCGATAAAGTTCCAATCAATTTGATCTTTTTCTCGACTTGATAAATTGCTTTTTTTTCACTTGTATTGTTTTAAAAATTTTATGGCCGACAGTGACGAGCCGAGTGCTGATAAGATTGAACATGGATTACGAGTAATTGTTATTGTTCGTAGAGAAACGTGATATTTGAACTAATTTCTGGTTCTAATTAACTAAGTTCCAGGAAATTTAAGGAAATAACGTTTATAATTTACGCTTTATTAGTGGAAATCGCAAACGAGTTATACGTACATAGAATAGATTAATTACAACAAGATTAAAAAATTTTTTTTCATATAAACGATTATTGTTTCGAAGAATAATCGAAGAGGAAGATAAAGCGAATTTTATTTACATCTCTATGATATAAAGCGTTATCATTAATACAGATTATAACGAAATACAAAATTAATTGAAAAGATGAGATAATCTTTATTTAAGAGATTAAATGTCTTTTGAAAATTCTACAAATATAAATTATAAAATGAGGAATCATTTCCTAAAGAGGATATTTATCAGGAAACGAGGAATTAGTTGTATTGGGAAAAGATTCACGAGATATCTTCAACTAATGAGAGGATTTCATCATTTCATCCTTAAAAAGACCTTGAGCGGAACCTTATAAGTTGAAGACACTTTCTAACCGGGAGGAAAAATATGGATAACGTCTGTGATATGGTCCTCGAGCAATGGAAATGTTGGATCGAAGGGAAGAGAAAAGGAAGTTTCGAAGCGATAAATCGATAATAATAGAAGAAAAATTTATATTTTTAAGCTTTTCTCTTTTTTTTTTTTCAAAGGTAATAACGATTGACGTAACAAAATTATTTAATAAAGAAATTTTATTTCGATAAAACGTCGAAGCATCTCAACGAATTGCATAAATGATTGATTATGCAAGTAGCAGAATTCGCATTTGCTAGAAATTGCTACGATACTGATCGTGGTAGTGTAGATAAAGAAATAAAATAAAATAGGCAGTATATGTAAAGTTCACAAATTAAAGTTTATACACAAGGCACAATAATATCACATGTACTTACAAAATTTGTTCGATAACGCAGTGACGCTACGTTTTTTTAGGAGTATTGGCATCTTGAATCGTTTTAAGTTATTTATTTATATCACGAAATTATTCACTTTCGTGCGGAACTAATAACGACTTTTTATAAATTCTTCGTCTTTTTTTTTTTTAGTATTATAATACAATTAATTTATTGTGATAGAATATTGATTAAATAAAAAAAAAAAATACTAGTATACTCTTCCGGGCTTAATGAAAAATATTCAGCGTAATATAAACTAATAGCAACCAAAAAGCGATACATCACATTTATAACGTAAATAATGCCAAGATTTAACAGTTGATATACAAAATATCAATGTGTCGATTGTCATGAAACTTTTTTCTTTTTCTTTTTTCCTTGATCTCTCATCAATATTCCGTATATCATTGATAATTTCTACATTTATAAAGTGTATAATATATTTATACGTAAAAAGATAAACGATGATCGAAGTATTTAATACTTTTTTCGTTAAATATATCTTCGTTTTCTATTTTATTAAATAAACAAGTCTGTTTTATCGACACAACACACAGTCCAACTTGGTCATTATGATAATCTTATTAGAGGAAAAACTTTGGTGAATTCGCGATCGGTGATTAAATATTCAATGTACGTTTCAATCCGTTAATTACACCGTGTATATACAAAATATTCTATCTACTATGCGAGATGTTCCCACATCGCATGGTTAGAATCATGATTTCTAGCTTATCGACCGAGATAAGGTAGTTATTTCAAAGACTCGTATTCATTCAACCCGCTGCACGCGTTAAATTAGCCCGTCTGGCTTTGGCATATTGTAATATTTCCGGATTTTCGTAAATCATTTGGGTCAGTGTCTCGATTCCAGCCAAGGTGTCAGCCTTGGTTCCCATACACATGGACCATTGCGTCTCGGACAGATCTTTACTGCACTCGACATCGTGATACACGTGAACCAAATCCTTGTCAGCCGCTCTAAATATCTTGATATTGGACTTGATTACTTTTTCGTAGAAATCCACGTCCTCCTTGCCCCATCCTTGAATGGATAGATTGAAACCGCCCACATCTTTGTAATCCTGTTTGTACAAAGATACGATGCCGAATCCAAATTGTCTCCAATATCCGGCCATTTCGTTTATGGCGAACGTGTCTGGACTCTTGGTGTCCCCGTAAACGATCTTTGGATCATACTGACTGAATACCACCGGGAAATATATTTGCCTACCTAAAAGAGTATTGACGCGAATTCTGTAGAGAGCCGATTCGGTAAATGCAATATCGACGTCGATGAAGAGCATTAAATCGTTGTTCTTCAATCTCGACGCGCCGTAATTAAGAGCCTTCGCTCTAGAAAATGTACCAGAAGTAGGAATAATATCAATACTGGCGCTGCGATACTTATATTTCAATTGTTCCACCAAATCTATCGTCCGATTGAACGAGTTTTCCGTTCTGTGATGATAGAGCATGATCAAGAGTGCGGTCCTCTCTCCGCTCGTTAGACAGATTTCTTCGTAATTTTGCAAGAATCTTCGAAAAACCTCGTATCTTCCAGATAACGGTAGAATGAAATGAATGATCTTATCCTTGACCGGATCCACCTCCTCGAAATTGAAATTCAAGCTTAAGAAACCACCGCGGAATATATTTTGCAAAGACTTGTCACTTTCTCGATTTTTCTGCGCTTCCTCAACTTCCACCCCGTCCACCGTTTCTCGTATTTCCACTCCTGCGAATAGAAAAAAAAAAAAAAAAAAAAAAAAAAAAGAATAATATTTGTCACATTCGTTTCGCTTTTCATTTTATCTAATGCTTCTTAAAAAGCATAGAAAATCTCTTAGGTTAAAGGCTACCTGTAAAATGTTGATGAAGATACACGTGCCTCCTAACAGGTAACGTAACCTTTCTACCTCGGTACTTTCGATACACGAGAAGAAGATCCAATATCGTGTCAGCGCCGTAGGAATCTACTCTTCTGTACCCGTAAAGAGTTGACCTTTCCTCCACGACTCGACCACGCTGTCGTGAACAGGCATTTATGGAAGCCATCACTTCTCTCGTAATGTCCTCCAAACCTTCTTTTATGTCGCTGTGAATTCTTCTTCTGGGATTCGAATCCCCTAAGCTGTACTCGGATCTCGACAAAAAATCCCAAGGAATTACTTCGTCGCTTGTCGTCGGTTTGAACGAACGAAGTCCTGCCGAAACACCTGATTAAAGAAAAAAGAAATATGAGGTAATAAAAAATGCAAAAGCGACAGATTCTTTTTTGGGGGGGGGCGGAGGGGGGGGGGAATAATTTCGCATAAGATTATTCCGTCGTATACCAATATGATGAAAATGAGTTTATCTCTGGGATCCATCGGATGTATTTAAAAACGTGTTATTATCGCAGAAGCGCGAATGTGAAATCCATTTTATGCCGCGTACTCGTGAATTAGCCGCGGAGGAGATGAAAATTAGCAGAGTCACGATCGAACTCCTGATCGTTCCGTGTGATGGGCTGAATCGTGTCGTGGCTCGCATCTGCTCCGTCACGATCAGCCCGACGATCAATTCGCATGGGCTAATCGGTCTAAATGGCTCTATTAATAACGCACATCCAGGGAAACGCGATTGTTCTTGAAATCAATGATTCACGCTCGCCTCGTCAAATATTCCGGAGACTCGAAAACCACACGCGAGGTTTCCTCAATCGAGTTTATCTCAATGACATCGTTTAACCCACACTCCCCGTGTTAATTTTACGACCTCGAAACTCTTGGCCGATATAACCATTTACCCAATATCTCGGTGTCGCCGGGATACAGTTTCGAGTAAGGCTTGACTGGAAACAGTGGCACACGATCGGCTATCTCGTAATTCTTCAGATTCTCCACGCTGATCCCCAATTGCCTCGCCATCGTGTAAATATCCCTGTGAAGATTGAGTCTCTCTTGTTGCAGATCTTGGATCTTGAGCCCCTGGAAAACGAAAGAGAACGAAACCTTTCTTTTTTCGAATCGAAGGAAACGATTACGAGGTAACATTAGCCGAGGTAACCAACCCTCATGTAATTGTGCAATCTGTACATGTGCGGCGGATTTTTAACAGGATGCAACGTAATAGCACGGTGAACCTCTTTTTTCTTCAAGTTTCCGGTGAACGCTTGCGCCCCGGAACTGTTGTGATACAGGATAGACTGCATCTGCAAAAGCGAAAGCATTATCCAGTAAATGCTCCAACTAAGTTCTAATTAAAGCGACGGATAAACGGATGAAACGGATCGCCGACGTTCACTTCGATCCAAGATATCGAGCCGTTTCGTTATTGTAATATAATAAAAATCTTTAAGATTCGAGTATTTTTAGAATCAGTCTTGAGATTCTAAAATATCGTAAACTTCCTGCCGGTTCACTGGTCTGATAATAAATATTAGCGCGTATACGAAACCGCATCTTACTCGAGGAGCAAGTGTTAATCAAGCTGTGAGACTGGGTGTGGTAGTATCTTGTTACAAGGAATTATTCTAGTGTTACATCTCTTGAATTAACTTGGCCATATTCTAACATCCTTCGTTTCAATGTTCCAACAACAAATTTTATTCAAAAGTAAAAAAAATTTGAAATGTGGAATTTTAAAAAGAGAAAAAGAGAGAAAGAGAGAGAGAGAGAGACGTTGCTCGTTACATCAATCTAATGCTCGAATCTGTCGTTATGACTGTAATGCATCAATCAATCATCTCGATCAATCAATAGATTGACATAGAAACGGTGTACAAACACTTGTAGGACAAACAGTTGGTGGTTATTGCATGTCGTAAGAATGGCTATTAAGTGTTTCGACCTTACGGCGGCGAGCATGAAGACGAGAACGTATGGGCTGTCAGTAGGTTACTAGGCTACGATTTAGTTCGTATCTAACTACTAACATCCTCGTCTCTGCATTTTACCTTTCGAGTGAAATGAATCCCAACTTTATCAATATTTTCGAGATTTCGAGGAGGGAAGGGATCGAGGAAAATTGCATCGAATCTGTTCGTTTCCAATGCTACATATTTTCCATATCTATTCGAACGTTGGATCCACAGAAAGGAGAAAGAAAAGGAGATATCTACGCGTTTTTTTTTTTTTCTTCCTTTCCCTTTTTTCTCCTTTTATTGAAGCTTCCTCGATCCGGAATAACCTTTTCTCTTAACGCCAACCGATAAAAAAAGAAGAATTTTATTGGATCGTGTTTCGATGTTGCCCTTGGCAAAATGACATAATAATTCGCGTTACATCGTGGAACCGCGAGCGCAATCGCTAATGCAAACGTGCAGTTCGATTAAATTATTGCAAGGAGCGCGATAAGAGATTTAAGCGCTTCGTGCTAGTAAATTGTTACTTAAGCACTTGGGCCTAATGCCGAGTGTCAAGATGGAGGAGAATGACTCGATCTGGCCACTGGGTTAGCAGGGTACTATTCGCTTGTACTTAACGACTAACATCCTCATCTGTGCATTGTACCTTCCGAGTTAACCCAATGATAGCGTACCCTGTGTATGATGCAGATGCGTAGCTTATATTTAAATCGGTAATATACACATCGAGTGGAAACGCTGTCCGTGCGAATATCGCGTTAACAGGAATTGCAAATATCGTTGAAAATTATGGAATATCAACGGATCAGATTCATCGTGACGATGATCATTCAATCGGATCAAGATGAAACGTAGAATTCTCGGGAGAGTGGTTTATAATAGATTTTTCTCGTAAGAAAGAAATTTCATCGATATTAAAATTATCGTTCGAATACACGCATAACATTCTGTGGGATATCGCGTCGTTCGAACGAACCGTGAGTTCTGCGACGATCAACAAATTACACGTGTTATCAACGTTCCCATTTATTACGGTGTGTGTGTATATCGGGAGAGAGAAGAAAACAGGATGACCAAAAATAGATTTAATAGTTACACGAGTACGAGACACACGTCGTTCGCAACCGGACGATGGAGAGGAACGCGTAGTGCGCGCGAGGAGCAAAATTCGAAAATAAACGTTGGCGATAAATCATAAGTCAGGCGAAAAAAAAAAAATGGGAAATTTGTCAATTTTGCAAGAAAATTGTGGAAAATTTACCTCGTAGCTCCAGGTACATGGTATACCGGCGTACTTCTGCACGCATCTTCCCAATTCAACGTCTTCGTGCGTGGTGTACAAATGTCTGAGGCAATACTTGATGTGCGGCACGATTCTTCTCAACGTTTCCCTGGACAGTATAACGCCTGGCCCGCCCATGCAAAAATTCTCGTCATACTCCAAGGAGAGGAGACCGAACTCCTCCGAGTTTCCTCTACCCGCTTGGCCGATGTACATGGCTCTGTTCGAATTGACGGATCGTAGCAATTGTTCCAGACGGTCTGTCCTCACGTAAACGTCATCGTCGGCCCTGAGAAACCACTCGAAACGATCCCCGTAGTTGTTCCACATGTACTGCAGCATCATGAACGATTTCTTCTGAGGCGGATACGTATCGTCGACCCGAGGCAACGCGACCAGAGGGAGATCGGGACAATTGTTGGGGACGACCGAGTTTTCGGACGAGAAGAAGGCAATTTTTCCTGGAAGCTCCTTGCCCCAAGTCTCGTAAACCGCCTTGGCTCGCGAATCTAGATATTTGCTCGCGGTCATCACGCCCACGAACACCAAACTGGTCGAGGAACTGTTTATCCGTTCATCGTCTTCCAATTTGGGAACGTTTCTCGCCGATGGTTTGATTAACAGCCGCGAGCCAGGCATCGAGGACGCGTAAACATTTAACCGTTGGTGTTGATGGCTCGACGAGAGTATCTTGTAGCTTTGGATGAGGAAACCTAAGAGGAGGCCCACTATCAGGCCCAGAATGGCGCTGGCCAGTCCACGTCGTTTACGCATCACTGGGTGAAACGTCACCTCATCCATTGATCTTCTGCAGTCTCTGGATCTCCGGCTGGGTTCATCGTCATCTTTCTAGCACCCGCGATCCCCTTCTTTAATGATTTCAATGTGTTAATCAGGGTAATTGCTGGAAATTCCTCGTACGATCCCATCGCTCCTCCTTCTCGATACCGAGCTCTTGCTCAAACCTGTACAACAACAACAACGCTTGACAATACTTGACTCTTTTCGATATTCGCGACGATATTTTCGCGACGTCGCGTCACCCAAGATCCGGTGAACAAACGTTGATCGGTTCGTGATCGTCAGCGTTACGGAAGCTTTCCAAGAGGAAAAAGAAAAAAAAAAAAATGAAAAAAAGAAAAAAGTAAAGACACCTGGATGAATTTAACGTTCGGCACGTTTCAAAGGTATATAATATTCTTTATATTCATTGGACTTTGGCACGACACGTTCGTTTGCCATTTAAAGAGCAAACTTTAGCTGTGTATTTTTTGCCTTCTTCTCTGTATGACTATAAAAGCGCTCGTTGTTTGGTCACTCGTTTATTTTTACATCAGCCTTGTGTGGGAAAACGAATTGAACGAAACCGATTATCTTCGTCAAACGATACGTTATCTTCGGATATGATGTAACTATTCGGTTATTTCGTAAAAATCATTTATTATTACTTACATCCAATATTTTTATCAACAATCCCAACAACTGTATTCTGTCCAATTCCATAACTGTTAGCCAAGCTGTTTCGAAACCTTTTTTTGGAAGCGATCGTTCGTGTTGAATCTGAAAGAAATTCCAAAAAAAAAAAAAAAAAAAAAAACGAATGATGCTGAATTATAAACGACCCATTATATTTCGTGGGTAAAAAAAATTGATACGATCAATTATACACGAACGATCACACGATTTGAACTTTTGTCTCGCCAATTAATATTTGATTTTCGTATACGTGGCTCCACTTTGGTATATTAAATATTTCGTAACTCTTCGATTGTAAACGCCGATAGATTAATCGTACGATAATTCGTATTCGTTCGTCGCGTTTTGAACCGTCGTTTGCGTGCATATATGGCTCGACGAGACAATCCTATCGAAACTCGGTCTCCTCGATCGATCGAGAGATAACATTTAACGAATTCGATTACCGCATTTGCAATCGAGATCAAGCAATTGTGAAACTTGAAATTGATTATTCGATTTGATCTTTGACGCGCAGTTTGGTATTTTATGCTCTCGTCGTGAGAACAATGATAACAGGATGAACAGAGGCAGTAGCGAGTTTGCAAAACCGCAGGTCAGAGAGTCGGATAATAGCGTATCCAGAAAGGATAGAACGAGGACTTGGCGCCGTTAGAAGATATTCTTGATCAATTAATACTTCGTGTTACATTCTCTAGTAACACAAATAACGAGAAAACACGTTTCCTTTAAGAATGTTTCGCATTCTTCGATTTGCACCTTTTCGGTTTTTCAAGAAGAATACCGTTAAGTACTTTTTCTCCTTCCCTCCCCTCCCCTCCCTTCCCTTCCGTGTTTCGAATTTCAAAGAGGACGTAGAAATTGCATAGCAGTCCCACTTATGGGGCTGTTTGTCAATCTGTGAAAATATAATGCAGAGAAGCGAGCACATTCGTCTTCCGAACGGTTAGTTGAAATTGATTCCCTAAACGGGATAGACGAAGAATTGTCCCTTGTGAAAACCGGTTTCCAGGCAAACTGATATACATATCTTTGCGAATGCGGGCAGTTATCGAATTTCGTTGCGCACAAAGGAATCGTTTTATTCGCGCGAATCTAACAAGGAAAAACACCTGATGCAAAACACCGTAAAATATTAGTTAACGGTTAATTCGATTACAATCGAAAACAGGGATATATATTATTTTCACGAGAATAGAATGGCATTAAATCACGAGGAAAGGACTTTCTCGTTAACTGTAAATTAATTATTGGTTAAATGAAAGGTCGCTTGATGGTCATCGACGATTGTTCCTAGTCGTTATTCACACACCAGTTTCCGTTCTCACAATCTTCCCGCGTTTATTCTCGGTTGCGGAATGGGGAAGAGAAAAATTAAGATTCCGTTAAAATCCATGGTTAATGCGATTTATCTTGGCTGGTGCAATGATATTTAACAGAAGACGACACGTAAATTCAATATTCGTCCGCGCCGCGATTAATCTTATCAGTTTGAACAAGATTACTGGGAATAATAACACCTTAAGAAGATAATTTGAATTGCGAAGTTTTATCGTATATTTTCCTCTTTTTCTTTTTCCTTTCACGAACGATGAGGGATTGATCTTCGTGAAGGGAGAATACACTTTGATACCGTTAGACGCTCGTAGAAATCGATAGATTCGTGTCGACACAATAGTGTTGACAATCGCGATTACACGGTTGAATCGGTAAATCCACGAAATCCCGGTGTTCGTCCCGTTAAAGGATGCGATTCGAAGTGACGTGCAGGAATGAGGAGGTATACTAAAGGCGGGAGAACCGGTTTAAGCCGAAAGTCAGCTCCAGATCTCCGCTAGCTCCTAAGGTAGGATACAACTCCTAGTTCTTTACTTTGAGAAAGATAAAGATGAATCGGGAAAAAGAAGAATCTCGAGAGTTATCATTCATTCGTGTATCATAAATAGAAATAATCGATATATGTTCTCTTTTAAAAGAGATCTTCGAAAGAAAGTCGAAATTGAAATTTATTACAGATACGGTATGCACGATTCTTTACGAAAAATACGTAAAAATATGCAAAATTCGTATGGATTTTTATACACGTTGCGAGTATAAGCGCGACAATATCGAAGAGTGACGAAATTTCCATTTATTTTAATCTACGAGAGAGATTTGCATACGTTTGATGAGTCACAATAAAGTGGTCGATTGGGTGAACACACGTTGTGGTTAAATTCTTCCAATGGCTGTCCAGTCTCGTTAACGATTGTATCTTTTCGAAAGACTGGGCCGATCGACAAGAAACAACTTTTGTTAAAAGTTGTTACGCGGAACAACGTGGAGCTCCTCCGCTAATTGTTCCCACAGACGTTGAGGCCGAATCATCGCGTTAGAGGAGCAGACTTGTCGTAGCCGTGACTCGAATCGAAGACAAGCACAAGTTTCAAAGAGTCATCGACTTTTCGAGTTCGAGAGCACGATAATGACGAAAGGCTTTTGTAGCCTCTCAACGATCGCGGTTCACGGCTGAACAATCTCATTAAACGGCAACTCGACGTTCTAAACAAATAACCTTTGTATTCGAGCCGTCTTAATTTATTAAATGCGGAAGCACTTACGTAAGCCAGCCGGAAAAATAAACTTCGAATTTCATCCTTCCCAATTTATAATATCCACGCTCGGATCGAATTCCATTCTCACTCGCGAAACAACAAGATTCTCACAATCACTGTTCCACCTGAAAATCTTTCGATCGTTGTTCCATACGCCATTACATATATATATATATATATACAACACCTTCCTTAACTTTCCACTTCGATTCGATATTATATCAAACGGTTATACGTTGCTCCCCTATTAGGCGAAGCAACAAACAGATCTCCATTAGATCCATGATGAATATCTATACCTTGGTCGTAGAGCAACTTACTCTTGTTCCAACCGGGTTCAGCGTTCGGCGTGTGCACGTGGGTCTTAACTGGCGCCGAAAAAAGCCGGGTTACGGCCCCGCTGCATCCGCCACGGTATGACAGAAACCGTAAACGAAGAGATGATGAGAGAAACGTGGAAAGGCACGGAGGCCCCCGTGCTGGCACCGGCCGCGGTCGTGTTGCGAGCAGGATGTCGGAGCGGCGACTGAACCAGACGAGACTGAAAGCCGGCTAGCAGTCAGCCAGTCGGGCAAGCAGTCGTCGGGCAACAAGCAGTCACCCGGCTAGACCCAGGCAACCTGATCGGCCGGGATATACTAAAGCTTTTCAACGGACGGGGCAGAAACTTTTCGTTCGGATATCAAGGAAATGGAGTCGATATACGCAGGCTTGATTCTCTATGCTCTTGACCTCGAAAGAATCCGATTCGATAATTCTGTCTCCTCTATCTACGTATATAGATACGATCCATTTATCGATGATCGTCGTATCCGATGATAATATTTTATTTTTTATTTTTTTCCTTTTTGCAGATTTTTGAAAAATTGAAAGGGATAAATATGGAAAATTATATAAGAATTTCTTGTAGATGTTTTTTAAACGAGCTCGCCGATTTTTGCAACTGGAATCTTCCATGAGGAAGACACGTTAGTAGTTCGCGTTGATGCATGAAAAAGCAATGAACTGTAAAATTACTCTGTGTGTGTGTATATATATTATTGGAATATAGTATATATTTCAATAGGAGTGTTACGATCAAATTAGTCGGCTCGAAAACGAATGGTTTTCTATTTTTACGGGAGGATTATCGATATAGTCCTGATTACCTAAATTTTGGAACAAACGGTATACGGTCGAACGTATACGGATTCTAAATTTAGAACTCGTGACCCTCTAAAAGTACTCTTATCTGTGGGAACTTTATACACCTCGAGACAACTTTTAAAAAAAAACGAATATGTATTTTTCGAAAATTCTCTAAAGTTAAAAGATTGCTTTCAAGTTAAATCTTCTTTCTGCTCGAGTACCGTATCACATTACTATATATATATATGTGTGTGTGTGTGTGTTACTAATTTTATCAATCAAAGATACGTAGATACGCGTTTTTGATATCTCTATTTGGTGAATTCATTGTCATACGCGATATTACTATTCTCTATTCATGCTCACGTCCGATTGTGAGACATTTGTTTACTCTTGTCGAATGCCTAGAGAGGAAAGAGTTGTATACACGAGTATATCTGCTTAACGTATTGTGTAACAAGATGCATAAAATAAATGTGTAGCGCACACCTACGCGATCGTCGCGTGCTCGCGTTAGAACGTAGTAACGAACGTTAGTAAAGGCCGGGTTAGTAAGAACAGTCGAAGCTGACACACTATAGCATCGCGTCCGTAAAGCAGGAACTTCCGTCGAAATAGAAGCGAATTGAACTACCTTTACGCTTCGTGAATTTCATATTATCTCCCATTCGCCATGCTCGATCCTTGTTCGAGCGGAACGATCGGATTAAGACGCGAAGGAGTGACATAGGTGTGTTGTAAAAATTTTAAAAAGACCGATCGTGTGTAATTCACGTCGAGCAACGCGCAATTTAGAGAAAAAATCGGATAGTTCGGCTCGAGTAGTTTCGTTTTCCTTTTTTTTTTTTTTGGTTACAAGCTTGTTCCGCGATTATTTTATCTAGTCGAATTATCGTGGTTGGAATTAACGAGGATTCTAATAGTGATTTAAACGTTTATAATGAAATTAAATTGGCGGGACGGATGAATCGGGCGAAGAAAGAAAGAGTTGCTCGAGTTAAATAATTTTATTTTTAGCCGCCTTGTGGATATCCTTTAGCCGGAAAGGCTAAAGGAGAAGAAAGAGGAATCGATCCCTCGAATTTTACACACGTGATAACCTTTGATTTTTAGGCCATCTTTGTTACGATTCTTCGATTAGCAGTGTTTATTACTTTCCGGGAAGTTAACGATTTCTAACTATTGTATGTGAAGGAAAAATTATGGAATGGGAACGAATTGTAAGCAAATGAAAAAGAAACTGTACCGGAATAGTTTTGCCCTGTTCACGCATTTAGAATTTATTATTTTTACCCTCTAGTGTAAATTTATTTAATCGATTTCTTTTTTAAAAGCGCCTTTTTTTTATGACAGATGTAATGGTAGATATTTAAACAAAAATTCGGACTTGAAATACATTTCTAAAAATATTTAAGGTAAGTTTGATTGTTCAGTTCACTGCTTGTTTTACATTATCACAGATTCATCAGATGAAAGATTCGATCGTCTATATGGTATAAATAATTATAAAAAAAAAAATCATAAAAAAAATTGTATAGAAAAAATTATCTTTGTTTTTTATTAAAAATATTTGCATAGTGTTAGATTTAATGCAATGTTTTTAATCATTATAAAATATCTAAAATTATGTAAAATCTAACATTTACATCGTCCTGTTCTTTATGAAATTATTGCAGATATAAATGTTATTACTCAATGCAATGTTTTCTTATGCATTATGCAACGACTAGAAGATTACATTTTTATGTAAGAAGAAAATTATGTTTTGTTTGGTAAAAATATGAATTTATAATAGATATATTGTGATGCAAATGTATTTTTCAATGCAGATGTGTTTATTCTCACCTCAATTAAGTGGAAAAGGTTTAATTTTTTCTGTATATCAAACGAATCTTCTATACTTTAAATTATATGTGACTTAAAGTTTCCCGCCAATGTGAAAATAATATGGCGGAAGCTCTGTGACGACAGATCGTTGAACCCAGAAATACTACTGTATTCAACTAGTATATTTATTTCGACATATTTTTTACTTACCCATTAACAACATAAAAAGTATTATTGTTGACCATTGCATTGATTATTTAGATACATATTAAATTCATTAAATGTACATAATATTTTTTTCAGGTTTGTAATAATTGTAATAACCCAACTCGTATAAATTATGAAACACGTAGATTAATATAGAATATTAATAATAATTTATTGTTTGAACGATAAAAGTATTAATTATTTTTGTTTCAAATATATAATATTTCTCAAGAAAAAATATAGTTATGTAAGATAGAAATATTTTAATGAAAATAAAATATAAAATCGTGATATTTATATTGCAGAGGGCGTAATTTTCCTGTATGCACGTCCCTGAAGTACTGAATACGATTGCTGATTTGACTAGTGTACCAGCGGAAGTGACGCGAGTCGCTTCGTTACGTTTACATTCTGTTCTCGACGTCGCGTTCATTGTGGGGAGCCATTACCCTCGTCCGCGCTAAGCATCGTGCCATATTCCCATTCGCGCCCTAATACTAACAACATTCTCGTAGTTTTAAGTGAAATATTATGAGAGTGAAGACCGAAATGGACGACGACGAAAAGGGGTAAGTCTGAATTGCGTATTACTAGCCATTGAAAGGTATTTTTTATGCGAGAATTTTCGATCGACGCGTTCATGGACTGTCGGGTTTATTGCGTGGGATCTCCATTGCGTATTGCAGTTACTTCGTATCTCTTACTTGCTTTCAATGTTTGCCTGATCATGAGCTAAATTGCTTATCTACATTACGCAAAACGTCATCATGCTTCGTTATTCATATATGATTTTCATGATATGCGAGGCCAATCTTTTTTTCCTGCAGCAATAAACGGTGAGATATATGGTTTTTCGTGAGAGGGGAATAGTTCGATGCCGGTTCTGCATAGTGTTCTTCTTAGTACTTACGACACTTTTGGTTGTTTAGATGTTACTCTTTTGGAAAAATCGACAAACACGAGTATGGTGGTTTAGAATATTATATACATTTTTGATATTTTATTTCGGTGTGAAAGTATGCTACTGCATCGTCGTTCATTACATCCTTCAATTCTAGATTCTCTATTTTTATGCTCTATATCCTGAAAGATCAGAGCATTTCAATACTCCATCGCTACGCGATTTTCTTATACGCTTGACCAATTGTGATTATTGATAGATGGATATGCATTAAGCGGTATATTATTATGCATATATCAATTTTTCCGTGAATTTTCATTACTGATAAAAAAAAATGCGTCATGAAATATTTCAATATTATGTACATTATGGATTATTATCAAAATTAGGTCATTGATAAATATATTTTACAATATAAATCGTGTTTTTTATGCGTGTTAAATAAAATTCTTTGCTATTTGTTGCGTTAATTAACCTAAATTTAATGTTTGCTACATTAAAATATCAAAATTTTTTTTTATTATATAACGTATTATAAAAAATATATTCGAAAAACATTATTCTATTTATATTGTTTCGCGTATTATTTAATAATTTATTTAGGAGACATTTTTTGTTAATGTTATTTATATAAGTTTATTATTTATCTTTAAAAAAATTTTTCTTACAGAAAGTTGTTTGTTGGTGGTTTGTCCTGGGAGACAACACAAGAAAATCTTCAACGTTACTTCGGCCGTTATGGCGAAGTAATTGACTGCGTTGTTATGAAAAACAGTGAATCTGGTCGCAGTCGTGGTTTTGGATTTGTAACATTTAGTGATCCAGCTAATGTTCCATTAGTTCTTCAGAATGGACCACATCAACTTGATGGGCGCACAGTTAGTATCATTTTTTTAACACAAGAAGAAAAAAAGAAATTGATATAATATAAATAAAAAAGAAAATTTATCTATATTTATTTCCCATTGTTTGATTATAGATTGACCCGAAACCATGTAATCCACGCACTCAACAGAAACCAAAACGCAGTGGAGGCTTTCCGAAAGTTTTTCTTGGTGGCTTACCAAGTAATGTGACAGAGACCGATTTGAGGTCTTTCTTTACCCGTTTTGGTAAAGTTATGGAGGTTGTCATAATGTATGACCAAGAGAAGAAGAAATCAAGGGGTGAGTACATTATAATAATTATTTGTATACAATTAAATCAGTATTGTTTGAAATGGTTTCCATTTAATAACTCATGTTAATAATAATTTAAATATATAATGAAATATGATTTAATGCTATATTATATATTTAATAGTATTTTTTTAATTATTATGGAAACTATATAAAACAATGCTCTATAAATATTTAAATATCATATCATCTTGTTTCTTATATGATGAAAAGTATAGTCAGAATTCTTGAAATAAAAATTTTGTTATAATATACAATTGATGCAATTTATGGTACATATTTATTATATTATTATATATGTGTACATATTATTATTATTATTTTATATATATATATATATATATATATATATATATATATACATA